CATGCCGGATTTCAGCCCCCATGACGGTGCCATTTCCTTCCTTGTCAAAAACTCCCAGTCCTTCAACATAATCCTCATAGGTGCCCTGGTCCTTGTTCTTGGCCACTGTCTGCAGCATGGGCAGAAAATGCTCAAAGTCCAGCACCTTCACATTCATCTCATCACTCTTCGGGTTCCCCAGGACCTTGAGCACCTCGGCGTTGGTGGGGTTCTGGCCCAGGGCCCTCATCACGTCCCCTCACTGGCTGTACAGGATCTTGCCATCACCTGTTCGGTCAAACAGCTGGAAGGCCTCCTTGAACTCTGCGGTTTGGTCTTCGGTGAAGTCACACATCTTGACTGCTCAGCTCTCCTTCCTGTCTTTCTAATGATACTTTTGTATCTCCAAATTATCTTATCTACTCCTTCAGTGCCAATAGTCTGGGTTCTATCCTTAGCTCCCTTCTCTTTCCACTCCACATCATCCATCATAATGTTGATAAAGCCTAAACCTATAACCTAGTCGTATTTGTTGGAATGACCAGGAAACTTGAAGTGTGAGAAAAATGAAGGAACTAAACCAGTAGGCCACCAGATTACTTCCTTCTCGAGGGATTTCTAGAACAATGGCTTTCAAACTTCATTCCTGGAAACCCTAGAGTTTTGTAAAGGTACCTCTGAACAGGGTGAGGGTCACCACATTTTTTTTTTTTTTTGGTACACTGGGGCTACACATACCCCAGTGATGGAACAGGGAGGCTCTTCTGATCATAGAAAAGTTTGGAAGCTATTGATCTAGGAAAGTGCTTTCTGTCAGCTTTTTGTTTGAGGAAACAAACAGGATTCCTGATCATCTGCTTGGAGAAGTTAATGCCATACTTTTGTGATGCCAAATCAGAGAACTGATTTGAGCCTTAAGCAGCTAATTCATACCCCTGACCTTACTTCTGGGACTCAGGCATGAGTCACAGTATGGACAAGGCAAGAATAATACCCCTTCAGTAAGGACCTAAAAACCTTCAACCTTCTAGCTGCAGAACTGCTTTAGTTTCACTCCAATTCTAGTTTGTGTTTTCCAGGTACAGTCTTAGCCCGCTGCCTGATTTTTCCTGTCATCGTGAAGGGCCAGCGAGAGGCAGTCAAGAATCAAAATCACATGCCAGAAATCCAGAAGTTTACCGCTCGAATCAGAGAGGCCAGGTTGGCTGGAGACCATACTGAGTGTGAGTCAGTTGCAGAATGAGTGTGGGAGAAGACCACATTTGCACTTTTTCTAACATTTTGCTGGGAGAAAGGAACAATGTAAATCAGAAGTTGACATAGTTGGGAAAGTTGGTTTATCTGTTTCTTGGGTCCAGTGCTCCTAGGGACTGGCCAGAGTTGGTTAGAAATTTCCCAGGCCAGGTAGGTGATGAGGATGTTCACCTCCACTGTTAGCCCAACCATTAATTTCCTCTCACCTCACAGTTTACAGGGCTTCTGCAGAGATGTCAATTTACCAGAAAAAGCATGGTATTAGCTTCTTTAAACCTCTAATTCTCCCTCTGACTCAGGTGAGCAAAAACATTTCCTTCCTTATTTCATCCTGAACCCATCAAATTTCCTCTGTGTTTCGTGTGCCCCAGGCCCCCAAAAAAAGCAAATGGTGGTGGATTATACATGACTTTGAGTATTGGGGTGATGAAAATATCTCCTCTGGTAAAGCATGCTGACACTGTTTATCTTGTGTAATAGGCCCCAATCTTTATCTCCTTCTTCCTGGCTTTGAGAGAGATGGCCAACCTTCCTGTGCCCAGCCTGCAGACAGGTGGCCTCTGGTGGTTCCAGGATCTCACAGTATCCGATCCCATCTTCATGTTACCAGTGGTAGTCACTGCTACAATGTGGGTTGTCCTTGAGGTAAGCCTAGATTCGCCAAGTGCCAGGCCTGCAAAGTGAACTGGGATTGGAGGGTAAAGTAGTTGTACAGAATGGTGATCCTTCACTCGCTGAAGAAATAGAGTTGATGGGTAAGAGGTTAAGACAAATTCACTGAAACTGACATGCTTTCCCAACTTTTCCGCCCTGCTGCTTTTGGCAGTTAGGTGCTGAGACAGGTGTACAAAGTTCTGACCTTAAGTGGATGAGAAATGTGATCAGAGTGATGCCCCTGGCAGCCTTTCCCATAACCATCCATTTCCCCACGGTACGTAATGCTTAATGGGCTGGCTCCAAGGCCTTCTGCCACCAAGCCACCTAGCAAGCTGACCAGGGATACAGCTTCTGAGTCCCTTCTCTGTGTTCTCACACAGGCAGTGTTTATATACTGGCTCTCCTCCAATTTGTTTTCCCTGGCCCAAGTGTCCTGTCTCCGGATTCCAGCAGTACGCACTGTACTTAAAATCCCCCAGCGTGTTGTACATAACCCTGACAATTTAGCTCCACGGGAAGGCTTTCTAAAGAGCTTCAAAAGAGGTAAGGGCTTGTCCTCTATCAAACAGGACCAGGGAAAGTGGTCTAAAAACATGAATGGGACTGACTCTCTTGCTCCTCTTTATACAGGCTGGAAAAATGCTGAATTGATGCAACAGCTGCAAGAGCGTGAACAACGCATGCGGAATCACTTGGAGCTAGCAGCCAAGGGTAAATAGTCCTTTCGGACCAAATTCTGTCTTTTGTTTCTTCCTTTCTGTTGTTCATTGAGATGTGTTTTCTCTTCTCCCCTCAGGTCCTTTACGACAGACCTTTACCCACAACCCACTCCTACAACCTGTAAAGAATAACCCTCCCAATATCCCCAGCAGCAGCGGCAGCACCCGCAGCACCAGCAAACCAAAGTCAAAGTATCCCTGGCGTGACACACTTGGCTGACTATGTTCCCTGCTCATTCTGGGAGGAACTCTGTCTCTTCAAAGATTCATCCTCAAACAAGACTTGACACTGTGTCCTTGTCCCAGTCCTAGGAACTGTAGCACACAGAGATGTTCATTTTAAAAACGGATTTCATGACACACTCTTATACTCATATTTATAAGAAAGCACTGGGTAGCCAAGTGATCTTCCCATGCATAGAGTTAGTAAACCTCTGTACTACATGCTGCTTCCTCATACTTATTGAACAGGGAAATGAGTGTGTGCTTCAGAAAACTGAAGAATACCCAGCACTTTGTGAGGCCAAGACAGGTGGATCACCTGAAGTCAGGAGTTTGAGACCAGCCTGGCCAACATGGGGAAACCCCATCTCAACTAAAAATACAAAAACAGGTACACGTGGTGGCACACACCTGTAGTCCCAGCTACTTGGGAGGCTGAGGCAGGAGAACCACTTGAACCCAAGAGGCAGAGGTTGCAGTGAGCCAAGATTGTACCACTGCACTCCAGCCTGGGCAACAGAGTGAGACTCTATCTCAAAAAAAAAAAAAAAAAAGTTTAAATTTCCAACCTCTACATACGTCGTTCTATCCACATTGGATTTGAGATTGTCTCTAAATATAAGACAATATAATATAAATATTGTCTCTAAATAAGTAATTTTATTTCTTAATCCCAAGGTTATTTTAAAAATTTCAAGAAGTAGATGTATGCAAATGCTTAGTGATAATTAAGAATGACAGTTCTGGTCTGGGCAAAGTGGTTCACGCCTATGATCTCAGCACTTCAGGAGGCTAAGGTGGGAGGATCACTTGAGTCCAGGAATTTGAGACCAGCCTGGGCAACGTGGTGAGACTTGTCTCTACTAAAAAGCCGAAGACCGGGTGCGGTGGCTCAAGCCTGTAATCCCAGCACTTTGGGAGGCTGAGGCAGGTGGATCACGAGGTTAACAGATCAATACCATCCTGGTCAACAAGGTGAAACCCCATCTCTACTAAAAATACAAAAATTAGCTGGGCATGGTGGCACATGCCTGTAATCCCAGCTACTCAGGAGGCTGAGGCAGGAGAATTGCCTGAACCCAGGAGGCGGAAGTTGCAGTGAGCCAAGATCACGCCATTGCACTCCAGCCTGGGTAACGAGTGAAACTCCATCTCAAAAAAAAAAAGCCAAGTATGGTAGTGCTTGCCCACAGTCCCAGCTACCTGGGAGGCTGCGGTAGGACGATAGCTTAAGCCCAGGAGCTTGAAGCTGCAGTTGGCCAAGATCATGCTGCTATATATATTCCAGCCTTGACCACAGAGCAAGATCCTGTCTCAAAAAGGAAGTTGATGTATTTTTATTTAACAATCCAACGTTTCACTAGAGCATTTAGGTGTTCTGTTGTCTGCCTTTGTGTAAACCCTGGTTTAGGCTGGGCGCAGTGGCTCACGCCTATAATCCCAGCACTTTGGGAGGCCAAGGCAGGTGGATCACGAGGGCAAGAGATCGAGACCATCCTGGTCAACATAGTGAAACCCCAAGTGTACTAAAAATATAAAACTTAGCTGGGCATGGTGGTGCAGCCTGTAGTCCCAGCTACTCAGGAGGCTGAGGTAGGAGAATTGCTTGAACCCAGGAGGTGGATGTTGCAGTGAGCGGAGATTGTGCTGTTGCACTCCAGCCTGGGTAATAAGAATGAAACTCTGTCTCAAAAAAATAAAAAAAACCCTGCTTTATCAACCTTCAGCAGCTAGCTTACAAGAAAAGAGATATACCTTCAAGCATAAGATTGTTTTTAGCCTTTGTGTTTTTAGGCTAATGGGAAGCTGTCCTAGAGATACTATACAAAATGAAACCAGGCCAGGCGCGGTGGCTCACAGCTGTAATCCCAGCACTTTGGGAGGCTGAGGTGGGCAGATCACCTGAGGTCAGTAGTTCAAGTCCAGCCTGGCCAATATGATGAAACTCCATCTCTGCTAAAAATACACACAGCCCAGTGTGGTGCTGCATGCCTGTAATCCCAGCTACTCTGGAGGCTGAGGCAGGAGAATCGCTTGAACCCAGGAGGCAGAGGTTGCTGAGAGTTAACAAAAATAACCCCACCTCCCATAAGGATCACACCTCTGCACTCCAGTCCAGCCTCGATGACATAGCAACAGTGTCTCAAAAAAAAAATGAAGAGCCAGTCAGACTAGGAACATAACCTTTTATTGTCATCCAGCACCTGTGACAGTTTCATGTCTCTATAACAGAGACAGGGAATTGGAGTACTGTGGGTCGTTTTAAAGGAAAAGAGGAGTAGGTAGGCATATTCAGGTACTACTAAAACAACCAAGCTCACTCCTGACATGCTCCTCCCCACAGTGTGCTTTATTGTCCCCTTTAAAAGTCTGGAACAGTATGTAGCAAAACAAATAAATTACTTTGCATTTCAAAAAGTAAATTCAGAGGTTGAAGCTGCCTAGGCTGGTCTTCTGGACAGGTGCCTCCAAAGAAGTAAGCTTTCCTTTTCAACTTCCTTAGCTCTACCCATAGACCAGAAACGCCTTCTTTTCATATCAGGATTCCAGGTGGTGTTTAGTTAGACTTGGGATCCTGTTGCTTGGGTATCTCTCCATCTTCCAAATCCATTTCTGCAGCAACTGACATACACAGGATCTGGAGGTACCTTGTGGCAGACCCTCCAAAGAGAAATTTTAGTTGGAATTGAGAAGAGGTCAACTGGGCTGAGTTCAAGTGTCATTGAATGGAAATGGGCCTGAGGGGAGTGATTCCATTAAGCCAAAGGCTTAATAAGAAGGGACTATGGCAAAGATGTCTTTGGAGCCTAGATTTAGAGAGAAAGGCAGAAACCAAGCTCTGCAATAGCTGAGCTGACTTAAGGATGCAAGGCTTACCCACGATCCTACGGAGGTAAAGAGGTCGCTTGTGTTCTGGCACTCTGATGATGAGGAAGTAAAAGGGCAGGCCTGAGAGGGCAATGGCAATGCCGATGAGGGAGTTGATGGTATCACTGTAAAGTGGAACAGCCACCAGGAAGATGGTGCAGAGGCAGAACACAACCGGGAAGAAAACGCTGAGCTAGGGGCACAGGAAACACAACTGGGGTGGACAGCTCAGGATTCTTAACAGCTACAATAACCACACCTCCCCTAAGGATTAGCACACTGAGCCTTCTTTCCATATCTTTAATTTCAACACCTACTAACCACCAAGTCCCAGGCAAAGGTTTCTAAATAAACTTGTAATGGTCCCCTGTAACAGCAACTCTAGCTATTTCAGATGGAGCAGAGATAGGATGGAGGTGCCTTACCTTGAGGGGACGAGGTCGATCAGGCTCCTTCCAGCGCAGATAAAGCTGACCCACAATAGAGAGCCCCACAAAGAACCAGTAGCTGAAGCTGTAGTAGTTGATGAGCTGGAAGATATCCTCCACACACAAGTAGATCAATGCCATGATACCCTGTAAGCAAGAGCCCGAGTCAGCCCCTCTCAGGGCCTTCGTTACTCCAAGGGCTTTTCACTCCCTTTATACCCCACAAATCCATCCCCCATCAGTCCTCAGAGTCTCCTGGTCCTCTTCTGTTTTTACTCCCTTTAACACCCAAGTTTCAGTACTTTATCCCCTCTCTTACAAGTCAGTAGTCTCAACTGGGTTTTCAACCCATTTTTCAAGTTATCCCTGTATAAAGCAAACGCAAAAGAATCCCTCGAAAGTCTTGCTTGCATAGGACCCTCTTCATAATGGCTCCAAGCTACAATAATGTCCAGCTCTTATTTACTACTGCATGTTGAGTATCCCTAGTCCAAAAATCCAAAATGCTCCAGTGAGCATTTCCTTTGAGTGTTAAGTCAGCACTCAAAAAGTTTCAGATTTTTAGAGCATGTCAGATTTTGGATATTCAGATTAGAGATACTCAACATGTATTAAAACCCATACTACTTTACCACAGGATTTTCTGATGCTATTTCTCCTACCTAAAGCCAATCTCTACCATTTGCAACCCTAGCCATCAAGATGCACTTTTTTTTCTGAGAACACTTTGGTAGACTTTAAGACATACACACTTCAAGAAACATTTCTTCATTCACCCTCTACTCCATGGAAATGATCATTTCTTCTCTTAAACACCATATTATTTGCTATCCATCATGGCAATCAATCATTACAATGTATTCCATGTACTTTACGCCTTATCTTAGAGCAGAGGTATACCATTCCTTAGAGCATTTGGATTCTCCTGGTAGCAGCTAGCATAGTGCCTTGCCCATGGTGAACATTCTGATCCACCAATAGTTTTTCTATCAGAATCTATTTTAGAGCTTTCAGGAAGCTAGAACAGTCGCTTCTACTGTTACTAAAGTTTCCTCCACAATCTGGCTTTCAGTCTCATCCTTGAGCTTACTTACATTGAAGAGCAGAGAAGGCACTGGTGTGAACCGCTCAACATGGATCATGCAGATGGCATCAGGGAGATGGCCTTCTCTTGAGCCCACGAAGAAAAGCCTATGTTAGGTAAAATAGGAGAAGCTGAGAAAATTGGTGGACACAGTGCAGCCTGGTTCACCTGCCACATGGCCCTCCCTCTCTGCCATCCCTTCCTTCAAAAGTGTTTGAATGACAGGGACTGGAGCTCAGTCATGAAATTGATGACAACTGCAGGCTTCTGCTAGAAGCAAGAAGAAAGAGGTTGTGGTATCAGTTGGAGACCACAGATGATTAAAGTCCAGGTTCTGAAAGTTCTACAGCCACTGCCATAGCTCTTCAATGATACACCCCCCACAAAAGATGCCACTCTTACCTAGAAGCAGCCACAATGGAGGCATTGAGGCCACCAAAGCAGGATAATGCAACTGATAATGGAATTATCCAGTTAAATACTCCAAATATCTGATCTGCAAAAGTCTAAGGGAAAAGAATGGAACAGTCAACAGGTTCTAAAAGGGATGAAAGACATGGATGGGCATGCCTCCAGATTCTCCCTGCTAGGAATCCAACCCCTCTTCCACAATGGGGATAACAGGGCCTTCCTGCAACTCTCATATCCTAAATGAACTCCTTTCAAGGCTGTCTACCCACCTTCCAGGACTTTCAAAAGCTGGAATATACCCAGTACCCCACAAGACACCCTCAACCTGCTAGTGAAAATCCTTTACCACAGCAACAGCATCACTGGCCAAGATCTCCCTCATGTCTAGCACAGTATAATAGGCCACATTGGTCAAGATGTAGATGATGGTGACAATGGGCATGGAGATGCCAATGGAGAGGGGCAGGTTCCTACAGCCAAATAAAATAAAATACACATTAGTCCCACAGTCATATCCCTATCTCTCCTTGAAGTCTTAGACTTTCTCTGCCACACCAATCTTTCCAGGTATGGAGACTCTTGGTACATTTCCTCAATGCATTTGTCTTTGAGGGTGCCCTGGATAGTGGGTGAAGCTGTGAACACTTAAGTACCAAATAACATTAGGGGAAAGGAATACCATGTTAGGAATACCAGCTGAGCACAGTGGCACAAGCCTATAGTACCAACACTTTGGGAGGCTGAGGCGGGCTGATGGCTTCGGTCCAGGAGTTGGAGACCAGCCTGGGCAACATGGCGAAACCCAATCTCTACAAAAAAATTAGCCAAGTGTCATGGCGTGTGCCAGCTACTTGGGAAGCTGAAGTGGGAGGATCACCTGAGCCTAGGGAGGACAAGGCTGCAATGGACCGTGACTGGGCCACTGCACTCCAGCCTGGGCAAGAGAGCCAGACCCTGTCTCCAAAAAAGAAAAGGATTAACGAAGGGTGTCCAAACACAATAACAGCACAGGAAAACGGGAGGTTATTTTGCTTTATACTCCAAAGATCTTTCCATTTCAGGATTCCGTCTCTAAGATTATCAGCATTGGCAATTTTGTCTCAACGTTAAGAAATATAAAAAACTATGGAGGCAAATTGTGAAATTTAACATTTCCAGAGAATAAGATAGGCCTTCAGTAGGAAGAGAAGTGCATGTATCTGACAAGAACCTATGTCTGCCCACCCCTTTCCTCAGTTTGAGAACCTCAGGAGCCATCCTAACTGGTGGGCAAAAGAAAGATGTCAAGAGCTCTCAAGGTCCCTGTAGCCCAATAAAGCCATGATCTTTATAAACATCCTTGACAGTAAGGCTGCCAAAAAGAACAGTGGGGCAAATACTCTGCAAATACAGCGTCATGCAGCTTCTGTCCGGTAGGTGGAAGCACCTCCGAGGCCTTGATCTTGTTTCTGTTATCTTTGCTCCCATAGCTGTACCAGTAGTTGTGTACCAAGAGTGCTCTTTTGTTTCGCAAGCCAAAAGGAGTTTATTGGTATGAGAATTGTGATTGTTTTGACTTAAAAATTTACAGAAGGCCAGTTATGGTGGCTCATGCCTGTAATCCCAGCACTTTGGGAAGCTGAGGCAGGTGGATCACCTGAGGTCAGGACTTCAAGACCTGCCTGGCCAACATGGTGTAACCTGTCTCTACCAAAAATAGAAAAAATAGCCAGGCGTGATGACAGGTGCCTATAATTCCCAGCTACTTGGGAGGCTGAGGCATGAGAATCACTTGAACCTGGGAGGCAGCGGTTGCAATGAGCTGAGATCGTGCCACTCCAGCCTGGGAAATAGAGTGAAACTCTCTCTCAAAAAAAAAATTTACAGAAACTTCACTCCTTGGCAAATCTTAGTTTCCAGAATCAGAGAATTTTAGAGCCAGGAAAGGCCTTGGAGATCACAGAATTCAACCCCCCTCAATTACAGATAAGGAAGCAGGCAAAGAGATGGCCGGGCAACTCCCTCAAGATCAGTCAACAAGTCAGTGGAAAGACAAACTCTAGGGCCTTGACTTCCTGTCCAGTGCTCTTCTCACTCTGTATGTCTACAGAGTAACAATGGTGGGGTGACATAATTGAATGACTGAAACTATACCACAATGTCAGTATGAATTTAGCAAACAAGGCAGGGATCAGAGGAAAACAGGAAGGTTTCTGGAAGCCTATATCCCAAAGCTATGTATGTGTGGATAAAGGTGGATAAAATCTATATCAAGGAAAATCTGTTTTAAAAACATACATAGGCCAGGCGTAGTGGCTTATGCCTGTAATCCAGGCACTTTGGAGGCCAAGGCGGGCGGATCACCTGAGGTCGGGAGTTCAAGACCAGCCTGACCAACATGGTGAAACCCCGTCTTGAAAAAAAAAAAAATACATAAGCATATAATACAACCTCCTTTATAATTAAAGCAGGAATTTATGAACAAATGTAAAAGTGCCTTTTTTTTTTTTTTTTTGAGACGGAGTTTCGCTCTTGTTACCCAGGCTGGAGTGCAATGGTGCGATCTCGGCTCACCACAACCTCTGCCTCCTGGGTTCAGGCAATTCTCCTGCCTCAGCCTCCTGAGTAACTGGGATTACTGGCGCGCACCACCGTGACCAGCTAATTTTTTGTATTTTTAGTAGAGACGGGGTTTCACCATGTTGACCAGGATGGTCTCGATCTCTTGACCTCTTGATCCACCCGCCTCAGCATCCCAAAGTGCTGGGATTACAGGCTTGAGCCACGGTGCCCAGCCCAAAAATGCCTTTTAAAAAATTTACAAAGCAGCCAGGCGCAGTGGCTCACGCCTGTAATCCCAGCACTTTGGGAGGCTGAGGTAGGCGGATCACAAGGTCAAGAGATCAAGACCATCCTGGCCAACATGGTGAAACCCCATCTGTACTAAAGTACAAAAATTAGCTGGGCGTGGTGGCACACACCTGTAGTCCCCACTACTTGGGAGGCTGAGGCAGGCGGTGGAGGTTGCAGTGAGCCAAGATCACACCACTGCACTCCAGCCTAGCGACTGGCGACAAAGCAAGACTGACCCCCCCAAAAAAATTACAAAGCATACATGAGAAAGTTCACATTTTCGCTCTGTTACTGTGATCATAGACAAGTTACTTCTTTGGGCCTCAGACCTCCCATCTGGTAAAATGAGGCTGATAAAATCAACCTCATAGGCTGCTGTGGTATGCTGTGTGGCACATAGAAGGAGCTCATTAAATGATGGCTGTCACTGCTATGGAAAGTTGGTGGTGAGGTACCTACCTCTCAGGATTCTTGATCTCTTCAGTGACATAGTTGAGGGTGTCCCAGCCCGAGTAGGAGAACAGAGCCGAGTACAGTGCCAGGGCAATGTCACCCATTGCAAATGATGAACCCTCAAAGGAATTCTCAAAATGAGTGGAGGCTCCTGGAACCCAAGAACATTGGAAGGCAGAGGATTAGTGGCCCATTCTCCCACTTCAAGATGGTCAAGTAAAGGACCGAGAGAATGTGGTAAAATAATAGCAGGCAAATGGCCTACAACACCTTTGGCAGCAAGGGTACCAAAATAAGGGAACAGGAAGCAGAAGAGAGGTGTGTATAGAAATAGGCCAGAATGTCCTGCATCCTAATCACATGGATGGGGATCTTGACAGGAAGGGTTTAGGGTAGCTTTCTAGGATAACAAAACCACTATAGAGAGGCCAGGCGTGGTGGCTCACGCCTGAATCCCAGCACTTTGGGAGGCTGAGGCGGGCAGATCACAAGGTCAAGAGTTCAAGACCAGCCTGGTCAACACAGTGAAACCCCATCTCTACTAAAAATACAAAAATTAGCTGGGCATGGTGGTGTGTACCTGTAGTCCCAGCTACTCAGGAGGCTGAGGCAGGAGAATCACTTGAACCTGGGAGGCAGAAGTTATGGTGAGCTGAGATTGCACCATTGCACTCCAGCCTAGGCAACAGAGCAAGACTCAGTCTCAAAAAAAAGAAAGAAAAGAAAAGAAAAACCACCAGAGAGCAGAAGGGCTGGAGAATAGAAATAATGCAGCTCTGAAGGTTGCCTGATTCCTGCCTCCTACCCCAATCTGCCAAACCCAGCTCCCAGGGCATGGCTGTCAACGCTTTTGCCAAGATCAGCCTCCTCTGGGAGGCAGTGTGCATGGAAGTTAAAGGATAGACTTCGGGGTCAGTTGGCCTGAGTACAAATTACAGCTCCTCTACTTACCAGTAGGGACTTGGGCAAGATACTTTTTTTTTTTTTTGAGATGGAATCTCGCTCTGTTGCCTAGGCTAGAGTGCAATGACACGATCTCACCATCTCAGCTCACTGCAACCTCCACCTCCCAGGTTCAAGCAATTCTCTGCCTCAGCCTCTTGAGTAGCTGGGATTACAGGCACCTGCCACCAGGCCTGACTAATTTTTGTATTTTTAGTAGAGACAGGGTTTCACCAACTTGGCCAGGGTGGTCTTGAACTGCTGAACTTGTAATCCACCCGCCTCAGCCTCCCAAAGTACTGGGATTACAGGCGTGAGCCACTGGACCTGGCCCAAGATACTTAATTCTGCAGCCTGTTTCCTCATATATAAAATGTGAATAATAATAGTGCCTACCAAAAAAGGTTATTGTAAGAAAGATATAATGCACAAAGAGCACTTAGAGGAGTGTGGCTCACATAAAATGCTTAACACAGATTAGTTGCTACTAATATTATTTCTTACCCTGGCCAAGTCTAACAGTGCCTGCAATGATGACCGCAATCAGCGCCAATACTTTCGCATAGGTGGAAGTATCTTGTACCCGGGTTCCCCACTTGACATAGGCACAGTTAATGAAGGTTAAGAGACCTGAAAGAAAAATAATACTGATTGGTGACTGCCCCTTACCACCATAGGCCCTTAGACTCCCAAGCAATTTTTCCAGTACCAGTCACCAAGCTAGACTCTTCAGCCAAAGACAGACCCTCTGACCTGCTGTGCACTGGAACCCTCCAGCCCCAGAATGTCCTCACCATTATCATGCAAAGGCCTCCATACTCCCTACCCCCAGCACCTTATATAGGAGACACAAAACAAATTGCGGATCTGCTTACATAAAAAAATACACCAAATTTCCAATCACAGCAGTGGGAGGCAGCTGGGAGCTGTACAGGAATAGTGATTGTTCCAGCTCTTGGCTCTGAAAAGTCAGTCTCTCCCTCCTACCTCCCATTAGCCATGGGCTCCAGGACACAGCAGTCTGACTCTGTGGTATAACTGTTAACCTTGAGGAGTCCTGCTGTGACTTATCCAATGCTGAGCCAGCAGGTCAGGACGTGTGGCCAAGGATTAGGATGAAGGTCAGATTTCCTGCCCAGTGCCTAGCAGCTCAGCTGCCTGCTTTTGTGCTTGGAAAGATTCTTGCAGCTAAGAGTGGTTCCTGTAGAATGGGGACAGGGCATTTTTCCTGATGGGACAATAGAGAAGTAAGAGCCACACACATTCCCCTAGTCCTTCTACTCAGAAGTACAGGTAATCCTTTTACCAGGGTTCTTAAGTAGGGCCTCCATAAGGCTCAGAATTCTTTTTCAAAATGTTATGTCCATATGAATACAGACATACCTAAGAAAAAGGTTCATACCTTTTCTTAGAAAAGGAGCATAGCTTTTATCAGAATCTCAAAGAAGTCCATTATCCCTCCCCCAACAAAAAAGTTACAATCTACTACTTGAATTTGAATTACTTGAAGAAATTCAAAAAAGGAAGCCCACACATGCTGTGAGGTTGACCAGTATCCCCAGGATGTGGCAGAGAAGAGAGTTGGAAAAAACAACACAGATCTCCCACTGGTAGCACAGGGAATCACTTCATCGCTCCCTCCTTCCCAGCTCAGCAACTGGAACACGGTAAGGAGGGCTTAACTTTAAAGTCCTTTTTCCAAGGGCTCCAAGAGCAAGGTCAACATCGCCCTGCCTTACTAGTCAAGAGAAAGAGGCTTAGTACAGGGCTTGCCTGCTTCAGACCACCAACGCAGTCAGAAACGCTCTCTGAGTTCTCCTGGCAGTGGTGTGGCCTTGATGTCCCTAGTCCTCCTGTTTTGTGGTGTCCTGCCTCATCACATTCTGGCTACTTCATCCTGAGAAGCAGGAAAGACTGGCCTCTCAGAACAGCTGTACCATCTGCTTTCTCTCATCCTTCCTTCCACCACCACCCTCATTCTACTCACTGCCCAAGTTCCTTTCTGCTCTTCCTGAGAAGGGGCATTCCTGTCCTATACAAATGCTTGCCTTTCTGCCTAAACAAGACAATAAACAACAAATCTTATCGTAGGGCTGGGCAAAAATGTACCCACAGCTTCAGGCCACACCAGTGCCAAGTTAATAATTAAAGACCCAAGTGTGCAGCACCCCACAAAATTACCAAAGTGCCTGTGTCTTGCCCTCCACAAATCTTTCAAATCTGTTGATCCTCCTCAGCCAGTCACCTATCCTTTTCTCCCCACTGGACTCCAGACACTCAACAACCTAGTACCCCTTCTCCCCAGCCTGTAACCTCTGCCCTTATCCTAGGCACTGTGGCTGGCTCAAGACCACAACATCAGCCAGGTTTCCAACTAGAAACACGAGCACAAAAAATGCTGCCACATTGCAGGGGAATAGGATCTCCAAATACAAATTTATGATTCCCTGCAGGGTAACCATGGGTCACAACACCGAACTGGAAAAAGCTTACAGGACTAATTCTAGTTCCGAGGCAGAGTCTGCAGCTTTGTGCCACAAGGTTGTCTTCTCAGCTCTGTCCAGGGACGTAAGCAGGGAAAAGGAGGGATATGCAACCAATTTACCACCCACTACCACAGCATATTCTGAATTAAAAATACATGGCTTGTTTATATTTTGTTTTACTTTATTAATTTTTTTAATTTTTTTTTTTTGAGACAGAGTTTCACCCTTGTTACCCAGGCTGGAGTGCAATGGCGTTTCAATGGAGTTTCAGCTCACTGCAACCTCAACCTCCTGGGTTCAAGCCACCTCCTGGGATCCTCCCAAGTACCTGGGATTACAGGTTTGTGCCACCAAGCCCCGCTATTATATATATATATATATATATATATATATATATATATATATATAGAGAGAGAGAGAGAGAGAGAGAGAGAGAGAGAGAGAGAGAGAGAGAGAGAGAGAGACGGAGTTTCACTCTTGGTACCCAGGCTGGAGTGCAATGGCGCGATCTCGGCTCACCGCAACCTCCGCCACCTGGGTTCAAGTAATTCTCCTGCCTCAGCCTCCTGAGTAGCTGGGACTACAGGCACGCACCACCATGCCCAGCTAATTTTTGTATTTTTAGTAGAGACGGGGTTTCACCATGTTGACCAGGATGGTCTCGATCTCTTGACCTCGTGATCCACCCGCCTCGGCCTCCCAAAGTGCTGGGATTATAGGTGTGAGCCACCGCGCCCAGTCTAATTTTTGTATTTTTAATAGAGATGAGGTTACACCATGTTGGCCAGGCTGGTCAGGAACTCCTGACCTCAGGTGACCCACCCACCTCAGCCTCCCAAAGTGCTGGGATTACAAACATCAGCCACCATGCCCAGCCTGCCTTTCTTCTTTCTCTTTTATTTTCCTTTTCTTTCCTTTCTTTCTTTCAAGTCTTGCTCTGTCGCCCAGCCTGGAGTACAATGACATGATCTCGGCTCACTGCAACCTCCACTTCCTGGGTTCAAGTGATTCTCCTGCCTCAGCCTCCCAAGCAGCTGGGACTTCAGGCATAAGCCACCACGCCTGGCTAATTTTTTTGTATTTTTAGTAGAGATGGGGTTTCACCATAATGGCCAGGCTGGTTTCGAACTCCTGAGCTCAAGTGATCCACCCGCCTTAGCCTCCCAAAGTGCTAGGATCACAGGCGTGAGCCACTGCACCCAGCCTGTTTTAATTTTTCTAGAGACAGGGTCTTGCTATGTAGCACAGGCTGGTCTCAAACTCCTGGCCTCAAGGAAACCTTCCATCTCAGCCTTCTGAGGAGTAACTGGATTACAGAGAGGAGCCATGGCACCTGAGTGGCCTGTTGACATTTTAATCCCTACTGCTTCTCTACTTCTCTTTGTTGTTGTTGTTGTTGTTGTTTGTTTTGGGGGATTTTTTTAAGACAAATTCTCATTCTGTCACCCAGGCTGGAGTGCAGTGGCACAATCTTGGCTCACTGCAACCTCCGCCTCCCAGGTTCAAAGGATCCTCTTGCCTTAGTCACCAAAGTAGCTAGGATTATAGGCACATGCTATCACACCTGGCTAATTTCTTTTGCATTTTTAGTAGAGACAGGGTTTTGCCATGTTGGACAGGCTAGTCTCGAACTCCTGACCTCAGGTGATCCGCCCACCTCAGCCTCCCAAAGTGCTCCCTCTTCTCCACTCTCTATCCATCTTTGTCTACGAGTATCCCACGTCTCCCACTCCTGAGCCCCATTCCTCAGCTACCAACCCACCTTCTAGCCCTGATCTGCTCTCTGTACTGAGCACAGAGGGCTCAGTTTGAATGAGAAAGTGAATCCTACAGAAAGAAACCAGGGAGCAAAGGGAACTGCCTGAAGAGAGCTAGCCCTCCTTTTCCTCAAAGCCCAGCTTCATCCAGGGCCTCTTAGCTGTGGGAGCAGGAAATGAGTATGGCAGGCAGCAGTGCTGACAGGGCTTTTTGTCCCCACCCCAGCGGATACAGCTGACCAGTGGCCCCAAGGCCCAGCCAAGTGCACTGCTATTGAAGTGGAGCCCAACCTCCTGCTTCTGAGGAGGGCCAGGAACAGGAGGGGACTATAGGGTTAGGATAATATGGAGGCAACTGCAAATTAACCTCAAGGGCAGAGATGCCCTACCCTTCTACCTCTAGGGACAATTCAATCCCCACCCAATACTGGGCCAAGTCTAAAGGAGGACAGCCTGAAATCACCTTTGACCCTTGACTCAGGTGTGCACCACCACACCCAGCTAATTTTGTATTTTTAGTAGAGACAGGGTTTCACCATGTTGGCCAGGCTGGTCTTAAACTCCTGGCCTCAAGTGATCCACCTGCCTCAGCCCCCCAAAGTGCTGGGATTACAGACGTGAGCCACTATGCCCGGTCTCATTCCATTTTTAAAGTGATCTATAAAGCTGGGTGAGGTCAGGAGATTGAGACCAGCATGGCCAACATGGTGAAACCCAGTCTCTATTAAAAATACAAAAATTAGCTGGGCATGATGGCATGTGCCTGTAATCCCAGCTACTCAGGAGGCTGAGGCAGGAGAAACCTTCGAACCTGGGAGACAGAGGTTGCAGTAAGCCAAGATCGCACCACTGCACTCCAACAGAGTGAGACTCTGTCTCAAAAAATAAAATAAAGTTATCTATAGCTCTTCCTTTTACTAAGCCAATAATATCTTTCTCCCAACTTCTACCAGTGGTGCCAGACCTCTCCTCTGCCTTCACACAGAATGAAGCTAAACCCTCTTCCACTCAATGGCCTTTCTTAGCATTAAAGATGAATATCCCGGCTGGGCACGGTGGCTCACACCTGTAATCCCAGCACTTTGGGAGGCCAAGGTGGGCAGATCATGAGGTCAGGAGATCAAAGACCGCATGGCCAACACGGTGAAACCCGGTCTCTACTAAAAATACAAAAATTAGCTGGGCATGGTTGTGCATGCCTGTAATCTCAGCTGCTCAGGAGGCTGAGGCAGAACAATCGCTTCAACCCAGGAGGTGGAGGTTGTGCCATTGCACTCCAGCCTGGGAGACAGAGCGAGATTCTATCTCAAAAAAAAAAAAGTCTGGGCATGGTGGCTTGTGCTTGTAATATCAGTACTTTGGGAGACCAAGGAGGGCAGATCACAAG